GTCCTCCTACAGGGGACAGAAGGTGAACAAAAAGCAAAGACACAGAAAGGAACACAAAACTGGACAAAGAATGAGGGGTGGAGATTGGGGCTTTTTGCAGCTGTCAGTGTGGTCTTCAGGGGGTTAGCTCAGGCTGGTTCTTGGAAGGTGGCACTGTGGCATGAAAGCCCAGCCCTGCCCAGCCCCTGCCTCTCCTTCTCTGCGCACCCACACTGAACTTGCCTAACCCCAGGTCCAACGTGAAGGCCACCTCCTCTGGGGAACCTCCCCAGACTGAACCCTGCAGCAATGGCCACTTCCTGTTGACATGCACATCTGTGGCTCCGTGCCCCTCCCCCCAGCCCACTGTGTGCCCAGCACCAGCACCCAGCTTGGGGCCTGGCACAGAGGAAAGGCTCGGAATCTAAAAGGGAGGTGGCAGGGAGGCAGAAAAGCCACCAGAGCATTCAGGCCTGAGGTGACCAGGTCCCAAAGGAGTTGGAGAGGAAGCAGGAGGAAGGGGAGGACTGCGGGCCTCCCAGGGGATTCCAGGACAGGGAATGGGCTAAGATGACTTTTTTTTTTTTGAGTTGGAGTCTCACTGGCCCCCAGACTGGAGTGCAGTGGCCAGCCTCGACCTGCTGGGCTCCAGCGATCCTTCCTCCTCCGCCTTCCGAGTAGCTGGAACTACAGGCGTGCGCTACCACACCCGGCTAATTTTTTGATTTATTGTAGAGATGAGGTCTCACCAAGTTGCCCAGACGGATCTCGAACCCGCGGACTCAGGCAGTCCACTCACCTCGGCCTCCCAAAGCGCGGGATTACGAGGCTGAGCCACCGAGCCCGGCCAAGATGGCTTTTTTTTTTTTTAAGATGTGGGGTACAATTCAGGATTAGATATACAAGTGCAAGATGACTCCTTTTTTTGAGTTGGACTCTCACTCCATCTCCCAGGCTGGAGTGCAGTGGCACGATCCCAGCCACCCCAGCGTCGACCGCTGGGCTCCAGCGATCCTTCGGCCTCAGCCTTCCAAGTAGCCGGAACTACAGGCGTGCTACTACTACTACAGCCCCAATAACTTTTGATTTTTATCGTAGAGAGAGGTCTCTTCACATTGCCGGGGCTGGTCTCAGGCAATCCCTTCACCTCGGCCTCCCAAAGTGCTGGGATTACAGGCTGAGCCACCCAGCCTGGCCGCAAGAGGACTTCGACGTCCAGCCTGGGAGGGCGTGAACGGAGCGGATTCCTGATTCCCCAGCGCTTATCCCAGCCCCATGCTTGCCGGGGCCTCGGCATAACGGTGGGGCCACCGAGAGAGGCGTGAAGTTCAGCCGTAACCCAGCAACCCGGCAGACGGGGCCCACCATCATGGCACTATCGGGCCCTCCAGGGCGACCTGCGGCGGGCAGATAAGGGGTTCGGCCGCTGCACCCCGCCCCCTGCAGTCCCGCCTGGATCAGGCCGGGCTCCCCGGGGGCGAAAGGAGACGTGCCAAGGCGCACGAGGCGCGGGCCCGGCAAGTGCGCAGGGGCAGCCCCAGGCTTGGGCTTGGAAGCGCCCCGCGCTGCCCCGAGGCTCACAGGGTGGCAGACCCGGGCGAGTGGACGTGGGCGGCAGAAACCTAGGCCCAACCCCCACCCGCCTCTCACCTGCGCCCCAGCGCCCCTGCGCCTCCAGGAAGTGCCGGCTCCGCCTCAGTTTAGAGCAGAGGAAACGGGGGTGGGGGGGTGAGGAGGAAGGAGGGAGATAGTGAAAGGGGAGCCGGGGTTCCTGTCATGTGACCCCTCCTCTGGGCTCCCTCACAGCCTCTCCTGGCCTGGTGCGACCCGTCGGAGAAGGGGGCTCCTCGGAGGCCTTGGCCTTTGGTCCCCGGGTGAGCCGGATGCAGGGGGGAGGTAGGGAGGAGGGTGAAAGATTGAGGTCAAGGGGCTGTGGCAGTTAGAGCCACTGCAGGGGTCGCCTGGTCCTCGTCCCCGGCTGGGGCTGCAGCCACGCCTCCTCATCTGGGGCTGACCCCGGGCTGACCCAGCTGGGCCACAAGAAGGAGGCCGGAGGAGGCGCACCAGAGCCTGGCTGCTGCAGGATGCCGGATCCTAGGGACTGTCGGGCTTCTGGACAGGGACGTCCTCCCGCCAAGCAAAGCGCTCAAGAGTGACCAGAAGGCCAGCCCACAGGTAGCAGGTGGGGGTGGGCTGGAGCAGGCTTCGTCGTTGTCTGTGCCGGCCCCATCTTTCCGCGCCCTTTGGGTCTTTCGCCCACTTGACAGGCGGGGAGGCCGAAGCCCCTGGCCGTGCGTCGCCTTGAGAAGTGGAGGGGGGCCGAGCCCAGCTCCCGCCCCAGCAGGCTTCTTTCTCCTCCTTTCCGGGCATGCCAGGGCCAAGACCT